GAGTTTAGTTTAATACATTGTTATACTGGTATATACCTATGTGATGTCAGCACGACTGATCGTCCGTCTTTAACGATACCAAGGATGAGGTTCCATAAGAATCGTCTCGCATGAGGGTCCATRCCTGTAGTGGGCTCGTCCTAAAACACATTCATAAAATATACTTACTTGACCCCGTCCTCAAGAACGCACAAAGCATCAAGGAAAGGAGGGAATGTTGTCTCTTTTATCCCCTTGCTGCTTTGCGCGAAGGAGAGAAAAACGCTGAGTATACCCACATCAATCAGCATTATTCTCTTTTTCCCCTTACTTTGGGTTTCATGTGTTGTGATAAAAACTTGGCGTCGAAACTTTAGTCCTGTGCTTTTTCCACAGGAAGCCCAAAGATAGAACTTACGTCTCTAAGTATTATAAGCTACTTACCAGAAAGATAATGGGTGGATTACCAATCAGTGCTATGGCTGTGGAGAGTTTTCTCTTATTACCACCACTGTATGACTTGCAAGGGTACTTAGCATACGATGTGAGTCCCAGCTTCTTCACGGCCCACGAACACACCTTTGTAAGTCAAAGCGTTCGGTTTAGCTGGCTCATTTTAAAGAGGAAAGAGGTTTTGAGCAGAAAGAATAGAAACTAATATGGCAATAGCACGAGGGAAGACATCGTACCACAAGACATCAAAACAAGACTCACATTTGAGGAGGGACTCGACCCCAGGCCACAACGGTGAGTGACGTTGAACCCCTGCCCCAATCATTAAATGAAGAAATAAAATAAGAAACAAGATGCTATACAAACCCGTTTGACTTCCTTTTCAGGAACGCCCCTTAGTCTCGCATACAGATAGATTTGTTCTTCTGCAGTCATTTCGTCGATCARGGCATCAAACTGAGGACAATACCCTATACACGTATATACTTTGTGGATATCCGTCGAAATACTAAACAAAACAACAAAAAATTAAATGAAAATCATGTTAAGGCTAATGATGGGTGAATATCTATACCAAAAATCAGTACCCATAGCGGTAACTTTCGTTCGTGTATTTTCCAAATGTTGTACCTGTATGTGTTCAATGTCGCTTCTCCTGCTGTCATGGACATGTCTCCCGTCAGCATCTTAAATGTGCTTGTTTTTCCTGCTCCATTGACACCAAGAAGACCAAAACACTGTAAAAATGAATAAAATTATGAATTAAAAGTGGTTAGTACGGCTGACACCTTTCGTAAGGCATTCGGAATATGTCGGAATAGTTGCTAGTTTGTAGTCGGAAAGTAGTCGTGAAGACGTCGGTAAGTTTTCAGTGACCAATCACTTGTCAATATTTGTCAATATTCATTTTCGAAGATGTTGGTAGCTTTCGATGATCAGTCGGGAGGACATCGACATGCTGCTGTCGGTTAGATATCGGTATTTCGTAATTTATCGGTAAGACATCGGTATTAAATTCACCTCGCCTTGAGGTATACCCAAGCAGAGTCTATCCACTGCTAAATGCTTKCCTCTTTTACGGGAACGATACACCTAAAGGAAAAAATAACTCTAAAAATTACTTTAAATAGTAAATACAAAGGATTTTGTTTTGTTCTAATAGTTTGTTTAGTGTTTCTGTTCAACTATTCATCTAGTCTGAGTTCATCTAAGTATATAATTGGTAAGCTTACTTTTGTAAGGTTTTCAATCCTCACTAAGTCATTGACAGCATCTCCACGAGTTACCCTTTCACGTTCACAGGCAACATCCTCGTCTTCACTTTGGATGGGTACTTTAGAGACAGGAAGTCGTCTATCAACACAACGAATATTTGAATAAATACAGGGATGATAGTAACGACGAATTGAAGTCAGTATCCAACAAAATCATAACCATATAAATGTATTTTGTCTACCTTGGTTTGATAAAAAATCTGTATTCRACAAGAATGGTGAAGATAAAGAACACAATTCCCTCGAGAAACATGAACACAAGATTACGCATRACGAGCATCCATTCRAAAGGGGACTGTATCTTGTCGTACTCTCCTGGAAGGAAAGTAAAAATGCGTCAGATATACTAATAATGAACATCTTAGTACAAGTATTCTAGAACACATGATCAACTTTCGATCTTTAGATCAATAACAAGTATTCTAGAACACATGATCAACTTTCGATCTTTAAATGTATGTACCGTAGGATGGATCGATGCATTCAAAAATGCACCAATTACAATTAAGCACTTGAATGGTATTCTAAAGAACTAATGATCACGTTTCTGCACAGAATCTTTGATAAGCATTTAAGAAACTTTCAAGTAGCGCATTCTAGAACAACTGATCAATTCATGAGTGATATTCCAGAACACTTGATGTTGTATTCTTTGATCGNGAAACGGATTGCGAATGACATTTGAAGTTAACGTATGTTCGACATATGAAAATTCTAAAACATGACCGCATTGAATGCTGGTGGTAAATGGGCCTTTAAGTGCAAACATTAACAGAGCAGACGAAATAAAGTAAGTTGAATGAGTTTGAACTTACCATGTCCCACAAGTAGTTCGAAAACCAATAGACTATTGGATTCACACCGCTAACGAACTGAAGATGTTTAGCTTTAGACGAACGCTCCATTACAATGAATACCACAAAGCTAGCAGGAACGAACGACATGGCGATGATGACAAAGATGGCGATCACGAGGTCTGTCCCTTGTCGCCTGAAAAACAAGACAGACAAAGGTAACGTAACCCTTATTGGCGTAGCATGAAAAGAGATTTCACAAATGACCGGAATTTCGTCCAGTTTTCGGATACAGCCAACTTTTTCCTGGTAAAACCCCGATTACGAAAACTCTAAAAAAATTAATGAGAATAGCTCCCTTTTACAGCGAGCATCTGCTATTGCTCACGCTTGGTGATCATTATAACGAGAGTTGAGTGCCCGTTGTTCTGTATAGCAACAAATATACGAACAAAATTGACGTCACGTAGAAAAATGTGACGTCAGAATTTAACGCGATGACGTCATACTTACAGATATTCCGCTGACAAGTGAGTATTGGATGTACTGTTGAATGGGAAGGGATGATTGTATGCAGTAATTCCTGCCAACAAAACAAATGTGGTTTTAACTTCACAATTTGGAAATGCGTCATGTTCTAGTGGTCGACCTTACCATAAGCTGATGGGTTCCCTTTGTCCTTTCCAATGGATGCTCGTAGGATGGCGTTATTCATGACATTCAAGTACGTTGGAAGGGCGTGGTACCCCTTGTTATTGTACCATGACTACGTATAACACAAAACAAAGTCACTTTAATAGTGCAAGAATGATGCTTAGTGTGTACACAGCTATTTCAAAAAACATGGTCGGGGAGAACGTTAAATAGCGATTGTCGAAGGGAGATTGCACGACCGAAAGGGACTATGGTAACACTGTTTATAAACAAAATTTACTTATTGGAGACTAAATGGAGCCAATGTTTACCAAAGACCATCTTACAGTACAAATCAATTGTAATTGCCTTTCAACTAGCAACACCCATGACTACTTTCTGTCGTACAATTGACATTCGCCATTTTATCCGACAACCTTTTTTGAAATAGCGATATAATAGCCCCAATCGTCACAAACGTGTTTTGCCATTGAACAACGTTTGTAGCGATTCGTGCGACTATACGGACACTAGGCATAAATCTTTCTCGTGGTGACGGTTTGTACACGCACTTATCGCTCACACTACAATGTAATCTTACCTTAACTACTTCTCTGACAGCCAATCGTCGGACGGGGGTGAATGGAATATCGTTAAAGTTCTTTGGAACAAACTTGACAACGTTACCGAACGACAGACCTCCATATCTGAAAACACAGTGATTGGTTTAGAATACTACCGTCGCTGGGAGATAAGGATTTCATCTTTTCGTTTTGAGAATTTCTCATTCTACACTATTCAATGCAATTAAACATACAACCAAAGCAATACATTTTGAATATTGTATTGGATCGTATAAGCGACTGCAATTCATACAGCCTTTAGAAACGCGCAGAAAATAAATGTTATTACTCTTTTCAACACTCTAATTATAAGATCCGTATGGTTGCGGGTATGGCATGTATGTTATGCTAACAAATGGCACCCATTTGGGGAAATAGTCTATCATCATCATCATCATACAATACAGTTTTTTAACCTACCTGTGTTCTCTAAAGGTCTGTGTCGTATAAAGCAGGTACTTGGACATATTTCTACCTGTGACATTTTGTAAAGTATCCAAAGTAATAGTTCTTAATTCCTTAGGGCGTGACCCTGCCGCACCCTTTTGACATATGTACCAYGTGCCGTTAGCGGAGCACTTGCAACCACGCCCAGTGTCTTTATGGGTGACWGATTCAGAAGAATCTGCWGAGTCGTTCGTGTAGATGTACTTCAGCTTGGCGCTGTTGGGCTTTAGGTACACACTCGAYACGTCATCAACCGCTTCTCGACACGATTTATCGAATARATGAGCCAAATGTTCTTTCGATATTTTAGTGTTGTTMACCGGGAGAAATTTTGTCGACTSAAAGCAGCATGTCGCGCCRACACCAGACGGTAATGTCAGCGTCCTCTCCAGCCTCTCAGCCAGTCTGTTTGTACCCTTAGCCTCGTTTCCAAASGGAATGTAATTCTCACGTGGAAACATGGAAGGTGTGAGTTGTAGAGATGGTAGATCTGGTCTGTGAGGTAGAGATAACGCCATTGTCATAGCAATACTGATGAATATAGCAGGCAGAAGRATTTGGGATATGACYCCCTTGAAGTTACGCCGAGCATGATGGAATCGTTTCAGTATTAAAGCATAAAACTGCTGCCACTTTAGTCTTGAGCCCGTTAGGGTGTATGAACCAACATCTCCAGGTGCATTACTGGGAACTAAAAACAAAATGGCGGTAAAAGTAAGATGAAACTACAAATATATTCATCCATTCATTTAGTCGTTCATCCATCCATCCCTCTAGCTATTCATTCATTCATCCCTCTATCTATCTATTCATTTATAAATTAACTCAGTCATTCATTCTTTCAGCCATTCGTTCATCCATCCATCCATCCTTCTAGCTATCCATTCATTCATCCCTCCATCTATCTAATCATTTATAAATTAACTCAGTCATCCATTTTTTCAGCCATTCGTTCGTCTATCCATCCATCTATTCCCCATTTACTTGTCATAAATTCATTATTGAAAAACGGACTTGAGTTAGTTATTTTTGAATTTGTACCATTTTAAACCTTGGTGTTGTAATAATAGTGTAATAAGAGTGTTTCAATGATTTTATAAGTAATTATATACTACATATACTTTTATTAGTTTAGGAGGACCACAAGTTCATTAGTATTATATACTATTACGTGTTCACAATCGTTAAATAAAGTCTTATTATTATTAATAATCGTATGAGGAAGTGGCTGATCCCATTAAAGAGTGCTCAATACACATAAAGTGTAGAGCTAGTTATATATATATATGATATCAAAGAGGCAAGATTTTGCTGTAACTCCGAGTTTYGTGCTACGCACTCATCAGAYAGTATTTAATTATTTTATTATTATTATAATAGTGAAGTTGTCCTTCAGTAGMRTGTTTTGTGTGAGTGGACAGAGAAGTAGACCATACGCTACTGTGATAGTTGTTTTAATTTCGCTCAAGCTTTCGCTGGACACCAGCATYATCAGGAAAGTGAATATTTACAGGTAATTAATGTACATATTTGTTCAAAGTACTCACTACGTTGTTCTCCATTCTGGTTTCGCGATCGTATCGMTGGYAGAAGTTGCTGATTGTCGTGGTTTCTTGTGTTTGAAACAGCGTTGAGTTCAAGGTCTCCATTYGATCCAATGGTAGCGTTAAGAGAATCYTGACTGGTTRTGCTGTCATCTGAGRATATGAGATTGAAAGCTGTCAGTTAAGAATCGATTCASACGACAACAATAAGSAGAYGTTTTCTACATGTGAAGCRAGGAAAGMAGAAGTATAARGGAAAGARAACSYTTCCATTTTCTTATGTTTCTGCTTGTGATAATGCTAAAAATATGAATGTAAAAACAAGCAAAACATAGACATATAAAGCTCATCCTTATGTCAAGTGTAAACAAGCTACTGCTTCTGCTTCTGTTTCTGTTTCTGATTATGTCATAGTGTGAACTGAATCCAGCTCCAATGACAATCATCACAAGATTGCTTTTCTTAAATTACATGTGTTGTTTCAAAGACCCAAGCATTATTTGTCATCCCCATATAAATATAATTTTACAAAAGTTTGATTTACCATTTTCCTTTTCTGTTTTGTCTGTCACCTTTAAAAACACCTAATAACATAAACAATGCAGTTAGCAACAGTTGACTAAACCTGTACAAGATCCTCTCCTTTCACCCCTTCCTTTTTTAGAGTTTAAAAGTATAAAAATAGAAATTTTAATATAAATAAATCAAAGGAGAAATTAATCTGAAAGGGACTCTGAAACACAACTAAAACAGCGGGTTTTTTTTCCTTTTCTATAGCACTAAATCTATCCAATTACTATTATATCCCCTCTCTCCCCTCCCTGGTAACGTTCTGGATCCGCTACTGCTGTAAGACAAAAAGTCACGTCGACGCAAAAGTACTGTAGACATTGTAACTGCAATGCTTTGACTTCTCACTGAAACAATTTGCAAAGTGTCAAGATGTGCATACCTCTTCAAGAGACGTGTCTGATATTCCATAACTGTCTATTCCAAGAGATTCAATATTTGCTTCAAGATCAGAGAAAAGCTTTTCAAAGGAACCCTTCTTGACGCAGTTATCAGGAAGGATAAAAGTGAATTCCTGTTGCGTTTTGTTCTGTAGTTGAGCACCAGGGACRTGCGATGTGATTAAACTGGTTACCCGCTCCTCTTGATCATCGATAACTGGGGAAAGAGCGTCTGGAAATAATAATTAATAGTTATTTAATAATTATTAGTACTTTCCGAGGAACATATATTCATTACGTTTAATGGCCCAATGGCCCAAGCCAGACAAAGAATGTCCTAATTTACGGAGACCCACACACACAACCTCAACATTGACTGTTTTAGCATATGACACTACCCACGGCTAGTTTTCGACTGAGGGAGGAAAACCAGGGTACCTGTAAAAAACCCTCTGGCATGCAAGCTCATATCACATACATCCCGGACAAGGAATCAAACAGGGACCACAGCACTGATAAACCAGCGTCAGTTTGAACCTCCCGGCCATCCTTGCTGCTGTATGTTCGTTATGTAGAGGTGCGCGTAATATTGCGTTACCCGTAATACTGAAGTGTCCGTAATACTAAGGTGTCCGTAATACTTAGATGTCCGTAATACTAAGGTGTCCGTAATACTGAGTTGTCCGCAATATTGAGGTGTTCGTAACACTGAGGTGTCCGTAGTAGTGAGGTGCCCGTAATATCGAGGTGTTCGTAATATAGTGCTGTCCACAATAATAATACAAACAACTTACGTGATTCAATCGACAGAGTAGATGAGTTAGGACTACGAATATCAACAGATTCCAGGTCACTATTTGATCCCCTGGGTGATCGATCTTTCTTGCGAACCAGAGTCAAACTATAGCCTTCACCAAACCGACTCTTCAGAAAGAGCGGAGAACCGACGCAGCGAAGTTTACCACTGGAAATAATGGCGATTCTATCCCCGAGAATATCAGCTTCCTCCATGAAATGTGTTGAAAGAAGAATGGTGCGACCTGGAAACATAGAACAAGGGTCAGATAACAAGAGTTCCAGGGGCGTATTTAAAGGTGTTCAAAAGGTGCCTTATTAAGTCAACTTAATTTAAGACAACGTTGGAGAAATAGAAATCYGACTTATTTTATTGAGTGTAAAGATTCGTTTTTCCATGTCTTCATTTTGCATTTGAATAAATCGATTTCTATGACGTCATTCTGATATCTGACGTTAGAGTGACGTCGTGTTGACGTCTTGTGACGTCATGGTGAGAATATTGGATACGTTCGAAATCGATAGTGTAAATTACTACAAAATTGCGTTGATTAGACAATAGGAGACAAAGGAATTAGCATAATTGTTACCAATTGTGCAATCTACTTCGTTATAAATTTACAATTAGATAGTAACTATTAGCTTTTATTTCTTGTTGAGTACCCAAATCCCAGAGTGGTAAACATTTATTATTTAAATAAAATAATAATAGAGTCAATTTCGTATGAATGGGAAACGTACGGTAGAAATTACCGCACGGTTACCGCACAGTTACCGGACCTGGCCTGCACAATTTTTGTGAACCAATGGGGCACTAAAATTTGGTTACAGTACGATTACGGTCACATTACAGTACCGTCCGTTTCCCACTCATACGAAATCCGCTCTAATCCTATAATAATCACCTCTCTTGTACTTGATGAGTAGGTCCCAGATGGCTCGTCTAGCATACGGGTCCACACCTGCAGTGGGTTCATCTAAGATTACGGTACGTGATCCACCAACAAATGCCATTGCTACGGACAGTTTACGCTTCATACCACCGCTTAGTGTTTCCACAGCAGAGTTTCGCTTGTTGGGCAAGCCCAAGTCAGTAACAAGCCTGGAAAAGAATGGTCAACGATTAAAAATTTGTTAAGCTGATTTCTTTGTCAAGTTGCGCAATGGTGTCTTTTTGGATTTCTTGATCAGTAACCATAATCATTGACAATGCTGTCATTTCATTCATCCATTTATTTATTCTCATCTATTCATTTATTCTCATTCATTCGTTTATTCTCATCCATTCATTTATCCTCATTCATTCATTTATTCTCATCCATTCATTTATTCACTAATGACTATAATTCATTCAATCTTCAGTAATTCTAACAATCAGTTCTTATTGGTGAAGACATACTGGTCCATTTCTTTCTTGACATTTCTGGAAGACAAGCCCTTCATTTGTGCATAGAACCAGAGATGTTCATCGACTGTCAAYCTAAAARCAAACATTMACGTTAACATCTGTAAAASCARCCRWTTAAAGTACATGGWACCATACCTATCGAATAGGACGTTGTGTTGAGGGCACATGCCCAGATTGTGTCTTATCCTGTCCATATCGAAKCGAATATCATYCCCATAGATGAAGGCAGTGCCSGAKGTGGGYGGAAAGAGTCCAGTTAAGATTGACATTGTRGTTGTCTTCCCGGCTCCATTRTGACCAAGAAACGATGTGATTTGACCTTCATACAGGTTYAGTGCTAAACCATTCACTGCTTTGATACCAGACTTGTACAYCTGAAACAAAACCATTTTATCAATCCGATCAATGTGGRAATGGGAATGTGTAGCCATTTACTCAGTCATTCATTCATCCATYCATTTTTCTTATGAACTCCTAACCTTTTCCAAATGGTCAATGGTTACCCCCAGGGGTAGGTGGATGGGCTCGTTCTCGTATGCCAACAATCCCGGCGTACACGGTGCCTCGTCATAGTCATCACTAGTCCCCGTCGGTCGATAGTTTCCTTTGTTAAACCTGGAGCAGGCTTTKGTGTTATGTCCAAACCAATAGGAAGGCTGRATTGGAAAGTACCATGGCCGAGGCAGGCCATAKGAGCCTGGGTGGACAGCCTCGATATACCACACCAGTATAATATAGAGGAATGTATCAAATACCAGGAAATAGAGGACTTTTAGTAGGGTAAATTCGTCGTCTTTTACCTGGAATACATCACAACATGATATCCACACATTGTAGGAAGATACAATTTCCAAGATGAATGGTCGCTTTCAAAAATATCGCAGGCGCACGCATGAAAGTGAGGTATTTGGGGACAAAAAAATCAAGCTTTATAAAGACGGCTAAATACGAGAAACAAAAACCCTCAACTTGGCGCGAAACATTGTTTCTGTTCAAGTTGAGCATCGGTGTTTCTCGTTTTTCACGATGTATTTTTGTTGCATAACAAGTTGACGATGCATGAAAAACGAGAAACTTTGATACTCAACTTTAACAGAAACAATGTTGCGCGCCAAGTTGATGGTTTTTGTATCTCGTATTAAGCCGCCTTAACTTTGCCTCGCTTTCATATTTGCGTCTTATCTATTTTCTTACCGGGCTTAGACCGATATTATGCCATTGTACACCTTCTCCTTGTTCTTCATACAGTGCAAAGTAACGAGCACCCAGRCCAAATGCAGACGTAGATAGTAGACTAGCTGCCATTTTCTCTGGTATATTAATATTRACATGTGCAGCTCCTTCTCGTATAGAGATAAACACGTATGGCATATATGTAAGAAAGTAAATAATGCCACCACACGCCGCTGCTAGCTTTGCCTTRGAGAAAAATGCGCTGATCAGGAAGCAGAAGACGATAGTGACGATGGCGAACAACATGAGAGATAGCCAGATGATGAGTGGATCRCTGTACGCCAGGATATTGCCATACTGAAAAGAGAAAAAAAGAAAAGGAGGAATTAAGATTGGAAAAAAGGAAAGGAAGGAGGAAGGATGGAAAGGAAGGGACAAGACAAAAGGACGAGAACAGGGAATGGGAAAGGAAGGARAGAAAGAAGGAAGGGAAGATGGAAGGAATGAAGGAACAGAAAAAGAAAKGAGGGAAACAAAGAAGAATACGGAGCCTGGGAGGGAGGAAGAGAAGGAAATGAAGAAGGGAGATTGGATCGGAGGGGAATATGGATGTACATGTAAAAATCAGCGAGAGAACGAGAGAGGAAGCAATTAACTAAAGAAAGAAGAGGATGTAAGGAAGGAAGAGACTTTAAGATTGTGACATCCTAAGGGAAAAAAGAGAGAAAGGGAGAAGAGCAAAATAAGATAAAAAAATAATCAATATCAAGAATAAAGGGATTTTACCTTGAGTATGATAGTAAGAAACAACACTGTGACWGACATGACTGACATGCTAGTAATAAACCAGGCAACCCAGTGCACCACGTTACTTAATCCCATCATTTTCATGACTTCTTTTAGTCTTTGCTCTTTCTCATAGACAATAGAACGAACCACAATAGCCACCGTGTAGATCCATGATACTGTCATACATAATGGCATCATGTGCTGAATGACAAACATGAACCTGAGGAAAGAAGATATGGCAAGCTGTAAGTATCAAGGACAAAGTGTTAGGATTGATTGACAAGTTGATTGATTAACTGATTGATTGATTGATTAACTGATTGATTGATTGGCTGATTGATTGATTGATTGATTGATTGATTGATTGATTGATTGATTGATTGATTGATTGATTGATTGAYTGACTGATTGATTGATTGATTGATTGATTGACGAAGTTGTGGAGTTATTGATTGATCGCATGTTTCAGTAATCTATATATGATATCAAAAAGGCAAGATTTTGCTGTTACTCCGAGTTTCATGCTACGCACTCATCTGACAGTATTTATTTTTCAGTAATTAATAAATGATATATTGATGGATTACTTTAATTTGTTGGTTGATTGATCAAGTGCATGAATCAATGACTGACATATTATTGATTTATTGAATGATATTGAGCAGTCACCACTTATCAACCAAATGATAAAAGATTGAGCAAGTGATTGATTGATTGATTGATTGACTGATTAACGAACTGATTGATTGATTGATTGATTGGATTGACTGATTGATTGACATGAAAGATACATGACTAACTCACCTATCCTTAGAATAACATGGATAAGGCATTTCATGCATGTAGACACCTGGTTTGATCACCTCACGGTTGGAGTGCAAGTTGATAATGGCACGTTCTATTTGATCCTGTAACCATAGAAACCCAAGATCATAATAGCTTTGTCCCCAAGACTGGGGCCCAGGCCTCCAATAGTTATCGCGGATGCGATCTGTGGGTGGTGTAAAGTATGTAGCATTCATGCGTATTTTATAYGTCACRTGGGGCGGTAGACTGGTGTTGSCTTTGAAATTGTCAAAGATGATTCCTGAAAAGAGAGTTTACAGAGTAAATTCTGTTATAAAATATTACATTCATATAACTCCCTTTTTCCCTATCAAAACTCCTATCAAACCTATCCCAGAACTCATGGAACCTGCTTTTTGATMGCTTCCTTAGAAMTGAACTTCAATAATTAGGTTAGATTKYGTTTATTGTTTGGAAGACAAGATTTGATCAGTCTGTGATGATCCTCAACAAATGTTAACATAATAMAATATAACAATACATCAAATTTGTGAGATTAAGTGTGTACTCAGGGCATGTATTGACAATCCCTAACATAAAACCCACTGCTTACAAAAGGTAACACTACATACCTGCTACAATTTTAGAATCAGCAGGCCTTGCACCYGTCACATTAAACGTATAATCAACAAGAGACTGCTCATCTTTAAACCCAACAAAAATATCAAGATGAAGTTTCTTGGCCTGCAATGACCACGCTCTCATTACGCCATCAATTTTATCCAGCTCCTGTATGATAGGGCTAGCAGCACCATGCTTGCCTGTTAACAGTTTATGGATGGTTTGGTAGTATCTTAGCCTCTCTGTTGAGTCCTTYCCTGAGAGATCTGATGCAGTGCTTAAGAAGAAATCTGGGTATTTTTTCATGAAGTCAGACATTGCTTKCAGGTAGTGTTGAGTGTCATTCTTCATCAAGATCGCACGAAGCTGAGTGGACTGGTTGAACCACTCGTTGACGATGTTTTGAAATGAAGCTATATCTGAGAACGTCCGATTGGCCTGAGAATATAAAACATGGTTATGATAATAATAGATAACATTAATAATGACACTATAACTGGCAATAATATG